ATGGTTAACATTTTCTTCATTTTGTTAGGTCATGACATGTTACTTCCTCCTAAAAAAGAAACAAGTGAAATAATTGAGTGTGGTACTTTAAACAGGCTGTGAATTGGTTTTGCTCAGTCCACATTTCTGAGGCAGTTCATTGCACTGCCTTAACCCCGCTCCTGAAAAAGTGTAAGCCTCCTGCAAAGCAAACAACTAAAAGAAAAATACTTCAGTATTGCTTGGAATTCCTCAAGAAGTCACTAGCTCCACATGACTCAGAGCTACATGCTGCAGTCACATTTTAACAAAAGACCTAATGATTACTTTCGTGATGATGTATTCATGCGTTTCAAGAAATCGGGTAAGAGTTCTGAAAGTTGGGGGGGTTCTTCACGCTCAGCAGCAAAATGCATCAATGCATGGTGTGGTCATAATTTCTTCTTCCTCTGAAGCATCAGGTAAGAACTATAGTAGAATAGCATGTGCTGCTTACTGTCACACTCATGCACACAGCTGTCTGCAAGTGACTCTCCTGAGAGCCAAAGCAAACTCTCCAAGAGGCAAAGCACCATAACATAGACCCAACCCACCTTCCCTCCTCTGTTATGTATCACGTGTTGCCTTGGTGAGAGCAATAATCTTAGCAGGTATGTCTGCATTATCTGACACATTTCCTCTGCTTCAGCACCTGAGGTTGTTGGGTCACATGAAAGGATTTCCTGTAGGGCATCAGCTTACAGCATGGGAAAATCCTTCCCTTTATCATACACCAGTACATTTGCTGCATGACATGAGTGATTCAACAGCTGTATTGTTTTCCTGTCTAGTGTGGAGTTCCCCCAATATTTTCCTGCTTGTTTACACTATATTGTTGGAATAAATCCAGTTTCTGTGCTTTAAACTTTTGCTAAGCAGTGGGTAGGACTTCTTGGTTGATAAGATTTCCCACACTCTTAGTTATTTACATGCCTTTTGCTGCTTACAATCTGCTTTCCTGTTCAGAGTGGGCAGTCAATCTTTTTGCTGTTGCCTGCAGAGCACTGAAGCCAGAAATTTTTCCTTTAGCCCTATACCCATCCTCATAAATGACTGATACGTGTTTGGTTGCACAGTTCTCCTCCAGAACTGGGGAAAGCTTCATGTAATATAAATACAAGTGCATTCATTGAGTTATTCCCCCCCAAAATAAATCGTTCTCTTATTCTCTGTTCTTTCTTACTATGGGAAAAAAAATGCCCTGAGATAATCCTGCTGCTGTTCAATGTTGTACCAAGAAAAACTGGCCTCATCAGGTTGCCAGGATTTGTTGGAATTAGACATTTTTATAAAAAGCTACATACATTTCTTTTTTTTTATATGTTGTACAAAATGTTGATAGTTTAGAGAAGGCAGTAATTTACATTTCCTTGTTTTAGCTGAGCTATTTTGCAGATGAGGTTTTCTCCTGATTAACTTCAATTCCCTAGGAAAATGTTTATACCTTTCTTATATTTATTATCTGTTAAACACTGAATATTAAATTCGAAATGCTGCACCTGGGAAAATATGTAAATACTGTGTGATACAAAGTTCTGTTTAATTGGAAGTGTGCAAAATGTATTTGATCCTCTAAAATGTGGTGTTTAGCACTGAATACAGACTTCAGGTGTAGTCACTCTAAGTTTGATGGGAACTGAGGACAATCAAAGCTTCCAAGATTAGAAATGAATCAACTCAGGTGTCAAGGCAGTTGAGATAAAGAGACGAATGGTGTGTTTGTGTGGGATGACAGATTATAATTGTATCATTTAACTAGGACAGTGATGCGACATGACAATAACAGTCAGTGTCCATACCTTATAATAAACCATTTCAGGGAAGGAACAAACTTTGCAACATGGTAGACTTTGTACTAAAGAACATTCATATTAAACAGTTCATAAGCTATATAGTCAGCCAAGCATAAGTCAAATAGATTAAGAACTAGATAAAACATTTCCACAAATTTATTAAAGAAACTCCATCATATGAATGGGTTATTCATAGTAGAATTCCATAGGTATTAGTATGATGACCAACAATAGTATTTTGATATGGCATTAAAGATTTCTAGCATAATTTCTTAATTAAATGAGAGCAGAGCAGTTACACATAGCCTGGACATACATGTGCTTGAACTATAGCTATATTTCATGGCAGGAAAGCTGAGATGTGCTTGAACTTCCAAAGCTCTCTCCATTCATACGGGGATAGAGCTAAACCATGCAGCAGCTCCTTTCTGACCTGCACAGATTAGTTTCTTGGAAAAACCAGGATGTGAATTGGAGAGAATCACAAATGACATGGAATCTTTTTGATACGGAGTTCAGCTATTACCAGATAATCCTCAGTAGTTTTCAGAGTGTTTGAGAAGCAATTGAGATAAGCTTAGTCCATTTAAGTATGTATATCAAAAAAAGCAAGTTTTACACTGAATTAAAAAGCAGGAATACACCTTTGACAGCTGAGATCTCTGAAGGGGTTAAAGGCCCCAGTAGGCAAGAACATGAGCCCTCTTGCAAAGAGCAAGAAGGAGTATGAGACAACTTAGGCCTTGGATGATACAAAGGCCTCTGTATAGAAGGAAAGTTTGCCTCTGTATGTAAACAGTAACAGGAGTATTACATACAGCTCTTGCATGTAGCTCTGTTAAATGATATTAAACAATTTCAAAATATATACAAAGAACCATAGAAGCAATTTGAGATACTGAAACTTTCTGAGATTTATGAAAAGGAACAAGGAAATTGTAAGTCCAAGGTATTTACTTGATAGGAGTGAGTCATGCTGTATGTGTGTTGGTATGTAGAAACCGCCCTAATAGCCAGGGAAGTAACAACGAACATCTTCGTTGGCCAAAAAGAAAAACAAAGGTGTGATATTTTCGTTTCATGTACAGGTTTGGACTGTTTTCTAGAGATGTTTTCAACTGGTAATAAAGTGCAAGATTAAACTATGCGATGGTAACAAGGCACCAAAGTGAATTTGGTTGAAGCAATTGGTATGGCTGATACAAAATGTATTTCGATGCATTAGTTGTTCTAGATCAGAAATAATTAGAAACTAAATGTGAAAACAGGATAGCATCAGTGATAAAAGGTATACTTAAGGGCAAGCAGTCTTAATACCCTGAGAATTTTGGGTGTTGTACCATATTTGGGGAGCTACATTAAGCTAAAGCTCTTGGTCAGATCCGACAGTCAATAACTTTGGAAGGCTTGAACTATGTAACTCATCAAGAAGACAGCACATAAATACTTTTATGGAGAGAAACTACTTGATACAAAGTACACTCATTTCACTGGATGGCTGAATAAATTAGAAATCATGCCAAACAAAAGAAGAGCAGCTAATCACTAAAACTAACAATAACAGAGTAAATTCTCCAATTTTTCAAGTCTGGATCCCTTTCTAGAAGATACACATGCATCAAATGCATGCTGTTTCGCTGTGTGTAGGAATTACCAGTTGTAATGTTACAGTAATGCACTATACAATTGATAAGACTCAATAACCAGGACATACTGTTACTATAGCATAGAATATTGAGGTTTTAATTTCTACTTTATTATTTTAATGAAAGCAGCCTGGTTGATATTATTACAAAGGAAAAAGACCCAGCCAAAAACATTGAGAGTATAACAATGTTGAGAGAGAGCCATCATGAGTCAGGATATTGCTTAAAATAACTTTATATTAAGTGAGATAACATATTAAGAGAAATGTAAATATACATGAATATATGAATGTAGTAATAGTACTGCATTTTAAACTTTTCTCTCCTAAGCTAACAATATATAGGCAGTTTCACATTTTTCACAGTAAACTGTCAAATTGCTTAAGTCTCCATGAGTAAATATAAATCTAAATTATTCAAGACAACACCTTAAATAAAATCCTACTTTTGTAAATAAATAAATGCTAATAGATAAATGTTACAGGTTGTGTCCAATCGGAACTAATACCTTCAGTCTAGGACTACAGAAAGTACTGTAAATTCTTCAAATTCCAAGCACACAATAAAAAGAAGGCAATGGAAATGGCTACTGTTCACTACTATTTTAACAAGAATTTTTAATAGGCTGTCACTTATGTTAAGTATAATTTTACCAAACATTAAGCACTTAGATGACTGATGCTAGTTAGTTAGGATCCTCCAGACAATACGTTCCTCTATAATCAATCAACTATCATGCATTTCTATTTTTTGAGGGTGAGTTGTTTCATTTTAAAAGCTGTCCAGATGTAGTAGTCTCTTAACCTACTCATTCCTCTTTGCTAACACATATTATGTCAGTTTAATTAGATTATTTGAAGTCCAGTTCTGAACGTACTTGTTCCTTAAGCCTTTTATAGCTGGACAGCCTGTGTCCTCCTTGTCCCCCATGCCAGGACATCCTGGCAGACACAGGCCAAACTTCCTGTGCCATCATCTATATAAATTTCCCACACAGCAAAATACTGATACACATCAGACCTTTCAGAGTTCCTTAGTGAGTTGCAATAAAAAGGGATGTGATGAAAGATCTAGAATTTTGGTCTCTCGAGAATGCAAATATACATCAATATTAATTTCACTGTAGGAAAAACAATGTAGATCCCAATCTTCAGAGACTAAATAAAACATAAAGGGATTTCTCAAATCTTTTTGGTTGACTTCAAACAACTTTTTAGATGAAATTGGCAAATATTTTGAAAACACCTGAAAGTCTCAGTAACTTTCTTCCTGAACAGCCTCTGGCTGCAGTAAAAAGAAAAAGAAACCAATACAAAAGAAAAACCCCAAAACCCCAAAACCACCCCAAAGTTATTCCAAATCATTACAGATTAAGCACAGCTTTGTTTAGGCCACAGAAGGAAAGGGAGAAAAAAAATGTCAAAAGAAAGAAATCACTGAGCCTCTGCCCAGCTATCACTCTCTTTACAATTTGTTACATTTCCAGAAAACAAAGGTCCCCTGTCTGGAAAAAGATTACCCACATTCTAAGCTTTGTGTTTAATTAGACAGTTTGTAACTCCACTACTCCAAGACACTTTCTTAGTTCTTCTGCCTTCTTCTCCAACTGCTGAATGTTCCAGTGCCATTGTCTTTTATTTGAATGGACTTTGTACAGTTGGCAATGCAAACGTTTCAGAATAGCATCGTATCTTTTATTCTGTACCTAAAAAAAAGAAGAAAAACCACTTCAAGATTTCTTTCAAGTAAAACTATTTACAGGGGTGGGTTCAGCTCACGTAACTCTGTCAAAGTGTAGATTCTGACATTTGACCAGGTGATTCATGTTTACTTTAAGCTGCTAAAGAGATGCAGACATCTAGGAAGCCATTCATCTGACCTATTTCAGATATCTACCTGCATTAGGACAATATGAGTCATGCCTCACTTTCCCAATAAGGGAAGAAAAGCTCTGTCCCGGTAAGACCTTAAGTGAGGAGTTCAGCATGGGCATCTGCTCTGTAGATGTCTAAAATTTAACAAAGTAAATCCCACCTAAGAGTCACCATCTCACAGCTGCGGCAACACTTCGTACATGGAAGATTTCAGGGTCCAGAATGAGAGGTGGAAAAGGAAGAGATTTTCATTCTTTGACAAGTGTGTCTGGGTATAAATTAAAATGCAAAGGAGGTAGGATGGCTGTAGTAGCACCTTCATAGTTGAGTGCATTTAAACAGGTATGTTTTTCTAAGAAAGGCAATACTGCAGCAATGCAGTACTGTAGCAGTTTTGCTCTTGTTGCTGCCTTATGTGGAGAAGAATGGCTGCTGCAGACAACCCTCCATTGCATTCCAAAGTGTAAAAGCATGAAACATTCACTATAATAAAAATGGAAATAACGGGTATTAACCTTAATGAAAATTTGGGCTTACTGCCCTAGTTTGAATGGCCTATGAGTGGTAGTGTATAATTACTCGTGTCTCCTTATTGAAACACTATTGCACTGTATTTCACATACACATGATGCTGTACAGTTGTATCAGAACTACAGCACTGACAGTGACTTCCTGTGAGTTTCACTGCCTAAATTTCACATATAACTAAGTAACTTTCACGCTGATGTTTTATAAGTTATGCTGACTTCTTTTATTGGTGATGGGCTGTCTTCCTTCATGTTGCCTTGCTCTCCACTATAATTATTCACAACTTTTCAAGGCATGCTGTCATATTCACTCATATGAATGAGTGCTTGGGGGATCTGAACATCACTAGGGCTATGCTGTATGACAGTGAAACGTCTATGATCAATATTATCTGCTTTGCTCAGAAATGCATTCCTGGCATCATTACTGGGAACAGTCTGGCACATCTGCTGAGGGAGGGATCACTAATATGCCTGCAGGAGAGAGGGGAGGGAGAACATTGTGCTTTTTGCTGGGCCTTGTGTACATATATGTCAACCATTTGAAAAAATTATCTGAGCGCTCGTGGTATCTCCAACACTGGGGTTGTTTAAGGACAGGATAGGCAAGTATGTGCCAAGAACAATATAGCTGCATGCTGACATGGGGGAAAGAGGGCAGCAGGGGAAGAAACATTCCTGTGACCTTTCTTTTTATTATTATTTTTACAAAACAACATATTTTCTATTATTTGTGCATGTCTTGAATTACTCCTTATGACTGAAGCCTTGTCCCTACACAGGTAACCACCCTGTCCAAGGCTGGAAACAGGCTCTGATCTTCAAGGGATGGGTGGTGGGGCTGGTGCTCAAAAAAGGGGAGTGGAAAAAGGACCACAAGCTGCCTTAAAAATCCACCAGTACCCTGCCTGATGAGAAGCATCCCAGGTATGAATTAATTGTAGGGTTTACAAATGAGCAATGTCAGATCACTGACATTCCTTGTAGAAACAAAAAGGATGCTTAGGCCCCAATTTCCTTGCAGAAAGATATTTTATCAGAAGTGTTTAAATTTCCAAAATTCAGCTGCTTTAGAAAGGCATTCTGAATTACATTCCTGCACAATGTGCTCAGCTGGGGGAAATCTTTGTGGGAAACCAGAAATAATACTGAGGAAAAGTGGGAGAACCAGGACTGTGAGTGTCAATCCATTTTGTCTGAGTGGCAGCTTAGCCATTAACAACTCTTCAACAGGAATTCTGCAGGCATTTAAGTGTAGCACTGCATAGGAGCAGACTTAGCTAATGCTTGAAATGATTGCTGACTAAACACTCCAGAAGTCCTAACGCAACAGCAAACTCATTGATCAGATGCTTACAACTGGAGGGTCAGAAACCTGGAATCTTATATGTTCTTTGCAAATTTATGAATAATGGAATCACGGAATGGTTTGGATTGGGAGGGACCTTCAAAGATTATCTTGCACAACCCCCTGCCATGGGCAGCAACATCTTTCACTAGATCAGTTTGCTCAAAGCCTCATTCAACCTGGCCTTGAACACTTCCAATTATGCCAACTTTCTGTGCAAGCTGTTGAAGCATCTCACCAACCTCACTGTAAAAAAAAAAAAAAAATCTTCCTTATGTCTGACTTAGATTTATCCTCTCTCAACCGTTTAAGACCTCTGTCCATTGTCCTGTTACTACAGGTGCTGGTAATGTCTTTCTCCGTTTTCCTACAAGCCCCCATTATGGTCTTCTTGGAGCCTTCTCTTCTCCAGGCTGAACAACTCCAACTCTCTCAGTCTGTCTTCATAGGAGAGGTACTTCAGCCCTCTAATGATCTTCATGTCCTCCGGACCCCCTTTGACAGGTCCATGTCAGGCACACTGCTTTTGATACAGCCCAGGATGCAGTTGGCAGTTGGAATGCAAGTCCACGTTGCTGGCTCATGCCAAATTTTTAATCTACTAATATTCCCAAATTCTTCTCTACAGGGCGGATCTCAATACATGCATCACCCAGTCTGTACTGATAGTGAGGACTGCTCCAACTCAGATGCAGGACATTGCACTTGGCCTTGTTGAAACTTCATGAGGTTATAAGGAAGCCAGTTACTTTTGTCCCATGCTAGAAGCTAAGAATCCATACAAAATATGAAAGTCCTATGACAAGTGCTGAAGCCTTGATGTGGGGTCAGTCTGTAGATTAAGATACCTAGCCTTACAGGTGTGTGTGTGTGACCTGTGTGTTTTCCTCTTTTGATCAATCGAAACCTAGCCAATGAGGAGTATAAAGTCTAGAAAGACCAGATCATACAACTCACCCTACTGTAAACACCTATACATGACCAACTGAATTGATCTCTAGAACACACCAACTGTACTGACCACAGCTCCAGTGATTATAATGGGAACCTTCGTGACTCATGTGTAGACATCTGCATTCAAACAACCACATTTGGGTAGCTGTAGCTCAGTCTCACCACTGCAGCTCAATGGAACTTCATCCACATGACTAGTATCTCACTTTATTCCAGGGCTTGACTTGTGTCTCCTTCCCCAAGTTGTGCTGAGGACTGCAGAGTATAAATGTCTCTGCCTGTCCATGGTCAGTTTTTATATTAAAAACTGGACTGTTTTCAGGAGAGCTCTTAATAGAAAATAATACCCTGGAAGACTTCAGTTTTGAACCTGCTTCCTTTTAAGACAAAATGATTGTATAATCCAAACAACTGAAGGGCAGGTTAACCTTCACTACTTAATTAAATTGATTTCGGTAACAAAAGAGAACATTCTCTTTAGTCTGTTTTGTTTCACTTAGGGTTTAGAGAACTTTCTTAGGAGGATGTTGCCTTGGTAATAAAATATTTTCTGATATGTTGAATATCACAGACCTGTTCTAGAGCAGCTGTGTTTTGCTTTTCAGGTTAAAAATTCTCTTCTGTTCCCTATCACATGAAAGAAACTATTCTTTCTTCCTCCTACACTTTACAATGGGCAATAGAGCTAACCTTAGGACAGCTAATCCTTACATTATCAAGCTTTGCTCATTACATTTTGTGGCATTTATTTGAACTAACAAGATAAATTATATTTAACTTGAAAAAATACTATATAGACATACAAAGTATTTTACTAAGGAACAAAATGTAAAATACAGTTCAGCTATATAAAAAAGAGAAGATCTTTACTATTTATCAGAATTTTATCTTGGCAGGTAATTAGGAGTTGCTGTGTTTTTCCTAATTTAATGTCAGCTCAAATTAGGGAGATCCATGGGAAGTCCATCTTCTTGGCGCAACTGGTTCTCCCATTGAGGAGTGATCAAGAACGATGAGACAAGTCATGAATAACAAAGTCAGCAGTGAAATTTAAAGTATTTCAGAAGTATCACTGAAATTTAAAAATATGCATTTTGCTTTACTACCATTCAGTGACCTCTTTCTTTTCAGGACATCATTCCAAAAGCTCACAGTTGAACTCCTTCTTACAAGATTTCAGAAAAAATATTCACAACTTCAATTTTTCTCAAGACACCAATTAAGCTCTGAATTTTACGAAGACGGTCAGTAACCAGAATTTAAGATAGCAAGGTTATTGTATACACTTGAACAATGTATGGCCAGCAATGGTATATAAACTACTTCATTTGCTCTATCTACATTTTGTCAGGAGAACTCTAATTAAATTTTATGCAAATGGCTCACCTCAATTTCTTTTCTAAGCTTAGCATGCTTTTTTTTCTCTTCTTCCAGCAAATCTGTTTTTTTACTGATGAAATCTTTCAATGTAGTGATTTCATTTTTTAAAAGTGTAATTTCTTCCTGCAGATGTCAGTCAAGATACAGAAATTCACTTCTTGAAAGGTTGCACAGTGCATCTAGCAAACTTATTAAAAACGTCACATTTTAACAGTCTCATTTAATAGATCTCCATTAATAGATCACATAAAAATCTATAATAAACAATTTCAGAATAAACCTATTAATAATAAATAATAGTTTGAGAATTTTACTTAAATTAATAATTAAATATTTTGTAACACTGTTTTAGACATAATATATACTCTTGATCTGAAATATGAAAACTACAACAATACAGGACTTTGGATTCATTTAAGACATCTTCATTTTCTTTAAAATACAATTTTTTCAAAAATCAAAGAATATTTCATGTAATATTTTCTTTCTCATAGGGAAATACAATGTTAATATGTCTTTATCAGTATTTAAAGATGTGTAGTACATAAAAAATTTCATCAATATACATGAACAGAGTAACATCAGATTTTCAATAATGCAAGTCAGATCAGAGTTGAAATCTGTGATCACATTTCAACTTCATAATTGTATTTGTTCATATATTGGCAAAATTTTGTGATAAAAAATTCCTACATGGTAGTTTTTAATAAATATTGCAGTTAGGGTTATGTAAAAAACCCCAACAATGTTAAGACTAAAATAACAAAATAAATATATTTTTCCTCTCTCCTTCTTTCTATCACCATCTCATCAAATGTATCTCCTGCTGGCAAACAGCTCAACTGTAGTTTGTTGACAGCAAAGTTTAAAAAAACCTGTCACATGAAAAATTTAAAAATCGTCCACAGAATTCTGAAATGTGTCTGTATAAGTTTATCCAAAAGTGTAAAGATTAATTTATTTTAAAATTAAGTTTTTAAAAAATCTATTTTTAAATTAAATTATAAAGTTTAATTTAATTTACAGCTCTGTAATTTTTTTCACTGCTGAGTTCATTCAATCACACAGAATGAACATGTCTTTTACAGTAAGATATAGATAATAATGGCTGGTGATTTTTTTCACTGCATACTGAAGTCAAAATTTCTCCAATTAATGTAGCATTATAAATTATCTATATTCCCTGTAGTCAGTGCCTCATGAACCATAAACATATGAGACAAAATAATCATAATATATAAAATATGCCAAAATTATACCCCATAAAAAGAATCAAAAGGAAATATGGTACCTGTATTTGTTTTATAACAGATCCTTCTGGATTCTGGAGATCCTGCATTAACTCCTCCTTCTTTGTCTTTAATTTTTCAACAACAGCTTTCTTTTCAGCAAGCTCAATCATAACTGGCATTTTACTATCCATCTCACAAAAGAGATTTTTATGATCCTTTATTTTTTCCCGATATTCATTATTTCTTGCAAGTATCACCTCAAACTCTTCTTGTACTGTTTCTGCATCAAGCCTCAGATTTAAATTTTCAGAATACAGGGCTCTGACTTGGGCCTCCAGATTTTCACAGTGGTACTTTGTCAGTTCTATGGCATCATCTTGCAGATGTATTTCCCTTTCTGTTGTCTTAGCTTCTAACAGAATAGAATTCATTTGTTTTTCTAGTTCCTGAAACTTTGCCTGTAAAATATTTCAGTGTTCACTTAAGAACATTTTTTGAGAGGATATGAAGTGTCAAATTAAACACTGTAATTCATCTTTATTCAGTAGAGCCTTTTTCACTTGTCTAATGTGGTTCGAATGGAAGAAAATTAGAGTTCCATTTCTTAATATTATCACCTTAAATGCACAATGAAAGAACACTATCTTAGTCTTCTCTCCTTAGACTCAGTCTAAAATATGCAATAAGGTATCCTTGAACTTTAAATTCCTCATATTTGCAAGATACATAGGACCTGGCAGATCAAACCCAATCCTAATGTTTGTTTAGAGATGAAATCCGGTGTATTTCTCATTGCACTAAAAATAACTAAAGGTGCCAAAAATCACTTACAAACCCCCACAAACACACAGATGGGTGTCTTGGGTGATGGAGCTAAACTAGCCTGTTCTACAGAGATTTTTAATTCTGCCTTCATCACACTAGTATTTGAGAATCAGATTAATCCCAGCTATCTCCATCCCCCCAAGAAATATGTATCTGGTCCTGAAAAGGCCTCTACATCTTTTCACTGACGAGAAGTCAACAATAACAGGACATAGTACTTCAGCACATCATAAGAAATCACAGAACTGTTAAGATTGGAATGCTATGACGAATCCCAGCCGAAGTCCCTGCCAACAGTAGTGCACTAAGTGAGAGAATTCACATTGTGATTTATGTCAGCTATTATCTTTTCCCTAATGGAAGTATTACGGGTGGTATGAAATCTCTTAATCAATGTCTTGAACAGATTAAGACATTATTAACTTTTAAGGACAAAAGTTTTGGTGCGACTTTTAATTTGGAAATCTTGGGCTACAGTTTTACAGTTTTGTATCACTACCAGCCACCATTTTCTGAGGACAGGAAAGCAAAAGATCATAATGGCAAAGATCTTGACTTTTGGAAAGGAAATCATTGTTTTCCATGTCTTCTGTGACATGCACACATAGGAATAAATGTGAAGATGAAAAAGCAGTTCTGCATCTTGATTTTAAGTCCCTAATTATTTAACTTTGCTGTTCTGCTAACATTAATGTTTTTATAGAACTTCCTAGGGTTTGGGCTTTTTTTGAAAGAAAAAGGAAGAGGTGTGGAAGAGGAAACAATAAATGAACTAACTAAATCTCTCTTAAGTTCTGTGGGTTTTTTTGAAAACAGATACCTGTGTTTAAATTGTTCGATAAGAAATTATTGTTGCAGCAACATCATACTATATTATGGGATGGTATATCACTAGGAGAAAGCTTCTTACAGAGTGTGGCCAGTCCACTGACATTCCAAAGCAATACAAGCTTTCACTGCTACTTCAGAGAAGTTGTGTTTGTGCAAACTTTCAAACATCAGTTATTACAGTTGTAGAGCTATTCACAGATGTTATAATTGGAACTCTACTATTTCCATTTGCACTCTCCCATGCTGAAAAATGTTGAATGGTATTGTGTCTTTCCTCAGACTTATAAGTCTCTCAACAGAAATTTGATCTCAAAGGTTAAATAATAATTGAAAGCTGAATAAATTCTCTGATTAGGAAAGAAATAATTACACAATCTTCACATGTAAAAACTACATGTATCCAGTGTTCTACAAAAAATACAAAATAGTACAAAATAAAACCAGCATTTCATGACTATTTAAGATACCCACATCAGACACACAGAAAAAGAAGTATTTTGTTTCAAGAAGATGCTAAGGAAAAAAATCATAGAGTCTGGTGAAAATTTCCCTCCCCTCCCAAAAAAAAGGGATGGTTTTAAAATCCTTTTTTCCTTGCCTTCAATTTCTTAGGAATTCAAGCTCCAACTTTGCATTTAGTTGTGGGTTTTCTTTGTGAGTTCAACTCAGTAGTTTTGGTTTGGTTTGGTTTTTCTAAGCAATAAACAAGTTTCACCTGCTGTAATGAAGTCTTAGCTGTGTTTGCAGCCTTACAAACAATACCTATCCACAGTTTTGGCTAAGCCTAAACGTCACACACAGGAATAGAGTAGCTGCACATGCCCAAAAAAAAAAAAATAAGGCACCATCAGCTTCCCTTGTTCATAGGAATACTCATCTAATTTAAAAAAGAAATAAAATTATTACATTACTTAAACAAGGTTTGTTACCTGCAACTGGAAAAGAACTGCTTTGCTTTTTTCTATCTCTGACGCTTGTGAATGCTGCTGCTCTGCAACTTGTCTTACAACTTCTACTAGTGATGAAGAATTTTGTTTGGCCATTTTAGGGAAAAGTGCAGAGCTATAAGGGCATAAAAAACAAGTGAATTGTTTTATCTTCATTGTATTTAATTCCTGTTCATAAAAAAACATTAAGGGCTTTGCTGTGGGATCACAGACCAATGCATTGTTTCATTTGGTTCGTTTTTTATTAACAGGTTACTAGTGGGTGGGCGTTCAAAGCTAATCACTGAGGATTAGAAGAGTGGTGCAGAAGCTTGTAAACTAAATTATTGCAGTGCTCGTCTGGCTTCTCTGCAGGACAGACCCTCAGTCTGTGAATACAGCCGTAGCTCTTAAGAGCATCTTAAACGCTCGAGGGCATAAATGCGCTCACATTTAGCCTGAATACTTCCATTCTCGCAGCTCCCATATGGCAACAAATGCTTTCTGTATTAACTATTCAACTCGCCTTAGTGTAAGATAAACTAAATGCAGAGAGCTGTCGCGCCCAGAGCCACACACTGCGAGGGGTGTCCCTCGCTGCTCCCTCTGCCCCGAGGGAGCACTCCGCACCCCCGAGCGCCGGCACTGGCCCCGGCACTGGCCCCGGC